TGTCTTTGCTCATGTCTCGTTTCACTCTAAGTTGTATGTTCGTCCATTTGCTTATGGCTAATATGGTAACGTAATGATTTCGATATTACTTTAGATGTCTCAAAGTCGGTTTTAGTATCCAAAACTGATATTTGTAGGTGTGCTTTGTGACCAAATAAGTAACTTACCCGAGTCTAGTCAACAATTTGGCAAACCCAACAGCCAACGTGGCCATTTCATGCTGATTGGGATCATAGTCTCTGCAAGTAAATGACAAAAAAGGGAAAGTCAGTTTAAATTATGATTAAGAAAATTAAGCACAACTGTTTTCATGATAGGGTTAGAAATTTCATCGTCATGCTGAATTATGAGCTTTAGGTAGAAATGGAGTTCAACTTATCTAACATCTCTTTGTATTTTATGCGTAGATATTCAAATGCAAGTTGCATAAGCTAAATTATTAATTCTGGCGGTGGAGACTTTGGAGGACTGCTGTCCCAAATCTCCAGACAATTAACAATTAAGTCGTTCCATACTCATTTCCAAGTTGATTCCACTCCTAATGACTGCACATAATTGGACAGTAAATTACTAATACATTCCTACCTAATATCATTAACCATGCTGTTGAATTGATACCTGTACTTGATTCAACCCCAAACAGAACAGAAGAACTAATCTGTCTTGAATCGAACCAGGTTTCATAACGGCGTGAAACTGGTTCTCTGATACTCTTAACACAACCTCTGTTACGGGTTACATTCAGTATGTTTTAGTACAAACACCCGGTTCGATTCATGTTCGAGCCTAGATCATTTAACAACTCTAATGACAAAGATGTGTATGTCACTAAAATAAATGCTGACACAGGTCGTTTCTAAGCTTAAATTTAGTTAAACTAAGACTGCTGTGCGTCAACTGCCTGCAAATATTAATATTTGCAGCTCCACAACACTTTCATGGAAACCTGCTAAATCCGCGCTTCGAGTTCCAAATATATAATCAAGAAGACAACAGAGAACCAACTCGACCAACAACTAGCATTCTTAAAACCTTAATGATCCCACCATAAGAAGTAGATTAGAAGCAAGCCATTCATATTATCATATCACTAGCCCTTCTGTTGGAGGGGAAAAGAGTTTGAAAGTTGAGAAAAGAGTTCGTGGGTACCAAGATGGGTTCAGGATCTCCGCGTGTCTTCGCGGCTGTGGTTCTTGAGCTGTGCTGCTTCAGCTTCTTCCTAATTGCTGCTACATCAGGGATTCTGAGTAACGCGACGGATCGCATGGCATTGCTGGAGTTCAAGGCCATGATTTCTGAGGACCCTTTGGGAGTCTTGAGCTCGTGGAATGATTCCACTTACTTGTGTCAGTGGCATGGTGTTACTTGCTCCACAAGACACCAGCGAGTCGCGGTTCTAAACCTGCAGTCTCGGCAGCTCTCTGGCTCCATTTCGGAACACATTGGCAATCTCAGCTTCCTGGTAGAGCTGAATCTCATCAACAACAGCTTCAGTAATGGGATCCCACCTGAAATTGGCCGCCTTCGCAGAATGCAGCGTCTGTTGGTCTTCAATAACTCTTTAAGCGGCGTGATTCCATCCACCATCTCGGGATGCTCGGCTCTCACTGTATTTCATGCAGCAAACAACAAGCTGGCGGGAGAGTTGCCAATGCAAATTGGCTCCTTGAAAAAGCTCCAACAGCTTATTGTGCCTGTCAACGGTCTAACGGGAAGCATCCCTCCCTCTTTTGGCAACTTGTCATCTCTTCAAAGGTTTGTACTAGGAAACAACCGCTTCAGTGGGAGTGTACCTGATGCTCTTGGGCGATTGAAAAGCCTCCGTGTTCTGTCTCTGGAGATGAACAACTTGTCCGGTGAAATCCCTGACTCCATTTTCAATTTATCTTCTCTCACGGATCTGTATGTTGGAATGAACCAACTCCATGGCAATATTCCCTGCAACCTTGGAATATCACTTCCAAATCTGAGAAGCTTAGATGTGGCTTTTAACCATTTAACTGGCAGCGTTCCAGCTTCCTTATCAAATGCATCCAATTTGGTTTTCCTTCAACTGCAAGTCAACAATTTTACAGGGAGCATGCCTAGTATGGCAAGCTCTCGCAACCTTATGCGCCTTCTCATCTACAACAACTCTCTTGGAGGTGGGGAAGCTAATGATGTGAGCTTCTTCTCTTCTTTGACCAATGCCAAAAATTTGGAACTCATGTCCATTGCCGGCAACAACTTTGGAGGTAGCTTGCTGGAGCATATTGGCAACTTGTCAACAAGTCTTAAGATCCTTACCCTCAGTGCCAACAAAATATCAGGAAACCTTCCAAGTGGAATACAAAATCTTGTCAGCTTGCAGAGGTTTGAAGCATCTTATAACTATCTCTCAGGTACAATTCCTTCCGTCATCTGGAACATTCGAACTTTAGAGTGGTTGGATTTAGCAAGCAATAGCATCTCAGGATCTGTTCCGCAGTCTATTGGAAATCTGACCAGATTAAATAGACTGAGGTTAGCAAGAAACCATCTACATGGAGAAATTCCTGCAGCTATTGAAAATTGCAAAGATTTAATAGCTTTGGACCTCTCCGACAACAATCTTAGTGGTGTCATCCCCCCACAAATCATGCGCCTTTCTTCCCTTTCAGTTCTCTTAAACTTGTCTCATAATCAGTTCACCGGCATCCTTCCCTATGAAGTGGGAAGCCTCACCAACTTAGAAACTTTGGATCTATCTCATAACATGTTATCAGGCAACATACCAGGTAGTCTAGGCAGTTGTGTCAGACTGGAGTTGCTGAACTTGCAATACAATCTCATGCAGGGGGCTATCCCTTCTTCTTTAAGTTCGGTCAGAGGTGTTCGGATATTAGATATATCAGGGAACAACTTATCTGGGCAAATTCCAAAATTTTTGGAGGACTTCACCCAGCTCCAACTTCTAAACATGTCCAGTAACAATTTTGAGGGTCAAGTGCCAGAAGGCGGAGTTTTCAAGAGTGCCAGTGTGGTTTCAATTACAGGGAACAACAAGCTTTGTGGGGGTATTGCTGAACTTCATCTTCCAGCATGCCAATTTAACCAGCCGGGAAGGAGATTGAGCCGTAAATGGAAGATTCTCATATCAACAATCTCTAGTCTTCTTTTTGTGTCCTTCACGGCAACTTGCTTGCTTCTTTGTCTAATGAGGAAGAGAAGAAAAGAGCATGTAGATTCTTCCACAAGTGATCCACCCTTGCAACCATCTTATCAAAGGCTCCACAAAGCAACAAATGGCTTTTCCTCGGCAAACTTGATTGGCATAGGAAGCTTTGGTTCTGTATACAAGGGAGTCATGGATGAAAATGGAGCGACTGTTGCTATAAAAGTGTTCAAGCTTGAGCGCCGGGGAGCTTCTAAGAGTTTCATTGCAGAATGTGAAGCTCTGAGAAATATCAGACACAGGAATTTGGTGAAGATAGTAACAGCCTGCTCAAGCGTGGATTATCATGGGAATGATTTCAAAGCTCTCATATATGAGTTCTTTGCTAATGGTAGCCTAGAAGAATGGCTCCATCATCCAGTGCAGAGAACTGGCCACCTTCCAAGAAGCTTGGATTTCCTCCAGAGACTAAACGTCGCGATCGATGTAGCTTCAGCACTTGATTATCTCCAACACCAATGCCAAACACCCATAGTTCATTGCGATCTCAAGCCGAGCAATGTTCTTCTTGATGATGACATGACAGGACATGTGGGTGATTTCGGGCTAGCAAGATTCCTTTCATCACTTGACAAACGCTCCTTTGAAGGGCGGACTAGCTCGGTTGGAGTGAGGGGAACTGTTGGCTATGCTCCTCCAGGTAAACATTTCTGATTTCCCTGGTACCTGATAGCAATTTCTCATTTCATATTCATCTCCAAAACAACAAACAACATTGCCTCACATCATTGCAACCTTCTCTGATTTTTTCCTTATTATAACTGCAGAATATGGTATGGGAAATTTAGTGTCAATACAAGGTGATGTGTATAGCTACGGCATCCTCCTGCTTGAGATGTTCACTGGAAGGAGGCCAACTGATGAGAGTTTGGGAGCAGGCTTGAACCTCCATAACTTCGTCCAATTTGCTTTACTAGAAAAGTCAGCAGCAAAGGTAGTGGATCAAGCTTTATTTGATGAACTACTTCTTGGAGTGACGAGCCATGCCAGCACCAGCAGCTCAGAGTACATTCCAAAGAGCGAAAAATCTGAGGAGCTTCTGATATCCATATTTGAAGTTGGTCTTGCTTGTTCATCAGATATTCCACAAGAGAGACTCGGTATTAGGGAAGCTGCATTAAAGCTTGTATCTGTGAGGAACAAACTTGTTGGATCGGCCTTGCCCGAGGGTGAAAGCGCAAAAGCAGGTCCCTGTATGTAGCTGAATGATTGTCTTGATGTTACCATCAGTTGTAATTAGGACCTTAAACTGGTACTTTAAGTTCAACATATAGCTTAGTTACGTTAACCAGCGTCACAATCTGATTCTTCTCTCTAAAAGGCCTTCTGACCACATTCCTTAACAGTTATTCCATTCTTGAATTCCTACTGATATTTTGGCCTAGTCAATCTACCAGTAACCAGCAGCATCTGCCTTTACTAGTCTTCTATATACAACCTGCAGCCACGGTCGAGCTCGAAGAGAACCTCAATGTCTAATCTACCAAATTACGGAATCGGCTAGGAAAAACAGCTAAAACAGTAGTAAATTAAACTTAATCTAGCTATTATGTACTTCAATTATTACCATGCCTGAACAGAGGTATATAACCGTCTTAATCTAGTGCCCTAAATACAGATGAAAGAAACGGCAGAAGAAGTGCTTCCCCTTTCATAAATTGGAGGGGGAAAAAAACACGGATCAATTATAGCTTAAAGGGAATTGATTTGGATCAAAGAATATCAATAAAGTAAATGCAGAAAAAACTTATGCCTAGAGCCAAAGCCGCAAAAGCGATCGGTCGTGTCAGCATCCAAAAGAACATTGATACGATTGAGACCACCATACCAGAATTGATATGGAATAAGGGCAGGTGGCCAAGTTTAAACCCTGAACAAACATAGAGAAGATTGAACTCCTGTTTTGAAGGTTGAGGTACATCAAGGAACGAAAGAACAACAGAGATATGTGTAAGTGCTGAACCAGGCATGAAATTTAAGTAGCAGTGAGAATCTGGGTTGAACAAGTGTTGCTCCTAGCTCAGTGTGCATTGATTATATTGCTTCCAATTAAGTGGAATAGAAAATACTATAACGTGACCTATATCGTTATATATTTCTGTACTTGCTTTCCCTTTGTTTTGTTGGTCAGCTAAGCCACAGTTAAAACCGAATATAAAGGCGAAAGTAGCTAAGAAATTACCGCCAGCGAGTAGAGAGCCGGGAAACAAAGGGGAAATCCACAGCATTCATGTCTTGTTTTCCAACTTTCTTGCATATGACGGGAGAAAAACAGCAAAGCTACAGTATGATGTACAGAATCAGCAGGCAATTTCCAGAATCTCTTCATTAGGCTCACTGTGAAACATGGATTTGTATGATTTTGATCGAGGTTTTGATGATGCAATCCTGGCTTTGATGCCACCAAGTTCTATGACCACATCAGCAACTTTCATCCGGTCACCTGGCAACTCAGCAGAACACTTAACTCCTACCTGAACCAGAGAAACCAAACACCTCAATCTATACTCCTTCATATGCCTCTCTTCATAAGATTCTTCAAACAATGATGGATCTGAGATGCCCTGGATATCATCAGGCAATGCCATCTTGCAATAATTGTGAAGGCTGATACCGGCGATGAACATTTCATCTGTCGGCTTCTTCCCTGTAATCATCTCCAACAAAAGAATCCCATAACTGTAGATATCTCCTTCTGGGGAAACAGAGCAGCCCAATCCGTACTCTGAATAGAGATTAGTGTCCAAGTTAGTGTAATTTTAGGAGAAATTAAGCTATGTACAACTGTATGGTTTCTTTGTTCTAGATTTTGCTAAATGCAAAGTAGCTTTTTATACAATGCAGTAGAAGTGAAGAAAATTTGTGTTTGGTCACGGTTCAGAAATTTTTTAGTTGATGAGCTATAAGATACTTTTAGTAGTCAAAAGGTGATTGATGGCAGTTAGATGGATTATTTTGTTTTTCTAGTGGAAAACAGGACTCCGGCTTTTATTTATTATCGATCTGGGTTCATAAATTACTTATTACATGATAGTGCAGCTTGCTCTGGGCTAAACCCATAGTCTATAAGATCCTTTTTTTAAGAGAACAAGACGGAAATGAATTTCTTTTCGTAAGCTGCCTTTAGATTTTAACAATTTGTGGTGTCCATCATGAATAACTGCTTTAAATAGTCAGATTGATGAAGTATTTTTTCCCAGTTTATAAGCAAAGACTTTTCAGGCTGAAACAAATACAACCTATAATCATTTGCTCTAATGTACCAGTACACAAAAAGTACAATTGAAAAGATTCATACCTGGAGCAACATAACCAATGGTTCCCCTAACAACTGATGACGATATGGGAACTGTACCACCACTCCTGGCAAAGAGTTTGGCCAAGCCAAAGTCACTAACATGAGCAACCAAGTCATCATCAAGAAGAACATTGCTAGGCTTGAGGTCACAATGAACAATGGGAGTCTCACAATCACGGTGAAGGTACTCCAATGCATGGGCCACATCAAGTGCTATGTCCAACCTTCGGGAAAGATTCAGATATCCCGACTCACCATCATCCCCTTTTTCATGCAACCGATTATGCAACCAACTCTCCAAGCTCCCATTAGGCATCAACTGAAGCACAAACGCTTTGAAATTGTTACCATTGTTGTCCATGCTTGAACAAGCAGTTATTATCTTGACAAGATTCCTGTGTCTAACCGTTCTTAAAGCCTCACATTCAGCTGTAAAACTGCTTGACGCTCCATGCTTCTGAAGGTTCATTACTTTTACAGCAACTGGTCTTTCATCTTCACTGAGAAATCCTCTATACACACAACCAAACTGGCCCGTGCCTATCAAGTTACAGTGGGCAAACCCATCAGTGGCATCAAACAGTTCTTTATAAGACACCATTAGAAACTTGTTTGCCCCAAAAGGTTGAGACAAATCCACGTTCTGATTTTTCCTCCTCTCGCAACTGAAAACAATATAAATAATAGTGATCAACACTACACAGAGGCTGCAACTTACTGTTACAGCTACAATCCATTTCAGGGGAAGTTTGAGCTTCTTCGCCACCCTTGTGTTTCTACTAGCACACACTGGAAGATTAAATAATGGGATGCCACCACAAAGTCCTTTGTTTCCTGCAACTGAAACTGTCTTGGCATTTGCAAAAACTCCTTTCCTTGGAACTTGGCCCTCTAGCTGGTTGAATGACAGATTCAAGTGCTCCATGAACTGAAGCCCCTGTAGTTCTTCCGGAATGCTGCTTGACAAATTGTTGCGAGAGAGGTTTAGAAACCGGATTCCTTTCAAGTTGCTGAGAGATGTAGGTAAGCTTCCATGGAAATAGTTTCCTGACAAGTCAATGTACTCCAAATTCAGGCAGTTTCCAAGTGTTTCTGGAATAGCACCACTCAACTTGTTGTTACTTGCAATCAAAGTCATCAAGTGTTTCAAGCTCCCCACATCGGGAGGGAAGGAGCCAGTCAAGGAATTTTGATCCAGTCGGACTGAGATCAATTGGGGCAGTTGACCCAATAAATTAGCTGGTATCCTGCCACTAAGCTGATTACTAGCAAAGAAGAGGTGCTGCATCGACGAACAGTTGGCCAAGGAGAGAGGAATTTCTCCTGAAAAATTGTTGTGGCCCAGATTTACAAGGAACAGAAGCTTCAGGTTACCAAGACAGGATGGTACAGAACCTGATAACTGGTTAAATTGTAAACCCAGTTGACCCAAGTTCTCAAGAGTGCAAATTGAACTGGGGATTCGACCAGTGAGAGAATTATTCTCGACAGCAAAAATAGTCAAGTTGACAAGGTTACCAATTGATTCTGGGATTTCACCGTATATACCATTACTCCCAAGAGTAAGCCATGTAATGCTTGAAAGATTGACTATGGAACTAGGAAACACACCTCTAAACCCATTACCTGCCAAACTCAAAACTTCAAGTTTGGTAGCATTCATGAAAGAGCCTAAGAAACTGAAGTCATCTCCAGAGGTACCACCCAACCTATTATCTTCAACACTGAGCCAGTTCAGATTTTTGAGCACTCCCAAGTTATCAGGCACTCGACCAGTCAGATAATTTGTACCAGCATCAAGAACCTCCAGACTTGACATGTTGCCGAGAGTAGAAGGTAGTTCTCCGGAAAACTGACAGATCCCTACAGATAACCACCAGAGTTTAGGAAAACACAGACCCATGTTGGGTAAAAGTTGTCCAGATAAGATGTTGTCCGCAACAGAAAGTAACTCAAGAGAAGACAGATTACAAATGGATGATGGCAGTGTTCCAGAGAGCCGATTTTGGGATAAAGAAAGAGTAGACAGATCCTTAAGTCCACCAAGGTCTGGAATGCTGCCCATAATATTGTTCCTCGAAACCGACAGAACCACAAGAGAAGAGAGATTCCCAATGCATTGTGGTATAACTCCAGTTATATTGTTTTTATTTATTTCTAAGTGAGTGAGCTTGGAGAGATACCCAAACCAGGATGGAAAGTCACCCACAAAATTATTGTCCGATAACGAGATGCTTTCGAGATTGGAGCAATTTGTCAGCTCGGCAGGAATTTCACCAGTGAGAGAATTTTTGGTCAGATTGAAAACCTGCATCCTGGAAAGCTGACCAATCTCTTTGGGAAGTGTACCTTTCAAGCTGTTGCTGGCAAGTTGAATTTCTGAGAGGTATGTCAGGTTCCCAATGGAAGGAGAAATGGAGCCACCCAAAGCAAGACCGTCCAGCCTCAGAGCAGTGACCCTCTGATCCCCACTCCCACACACAACTCCAGGCCATTGACAAAAATGAATGGAGTCATTCCATAAGCTCAAGGTTCCATATGGCCCATCTATCAAACCAGCCTTCAAGTCGAGCAATGCGAGTCGATCAGTCACATTGCTGACACCTTCAACACCTGAAACATAAATTGTTGAGCATAGACCGATGCAAAGCATGCACAGGTTGAAAGTAACAACTGGTAGATGCAATATCTCCATTTCGAAAACAATGAAGCTCAAACTCGTCAACAAACGAATCAAACAAAATGCATTTCACGAACACTAATAGTGCCTAAATTAAAGCGAACAGAAGAAAATGGCTCTGTGGGGAAAGTAGAAGACGAGAAAATGAAAAAGACTACCCTTTACTCAGAACCTCTCATTCAAGCAAAGCTGCCGCCTTCCCATTTACTATGTACCTATGAGTCAGCTTGCAAATTAATGATTCAAATAAAAATCTAATCAGAATCCTCCAAGAGGGAAAATCAAACCAGGAATGGGAAGATTAATCATCCTAGGATTTGGCAGATTCCGCATGTCACAATTAGGCGCCCGCCTGCCTGATAGTGAAGTTTTGAGTATTAGAGCAACATCGAATCTGGAGGCCGGCTCCAGATTAATCCTTAAACCAAACAATGAAGTTACTACAACGAGATAGCAATAGGAATTTGGGACTGTTAGACCTACAATGGCGTATGCGATTGGCCGTATTAGACAGAAACTCCTAATTTACTCGAGAAGTAGAAGAAACTAATTACCGCCTGGAAATCGCAGAGACGAGAAGCGAAGACGAAATCATGTTGTTACAGACTCAAAATGGCGAAGAGTTGGAGAAAGAGCGAGACGGACGCCGGAGACAGGAATCAAACGACCCTCACAATGGGAGGAAAACATAGAGAGGGAAGGAAGTTCCGTCAGGAATTGGGGACAGACAGAACAGGTCTTGTTTCTTGTTTAGGTAGCCGCCTCAGTAGGACCTCGCCGTCGAATATCAGTGCCTTCTTCTGCATCTTTCTCTCCGGCAGCCGGCGTCTTTTGCAGGTTGCAGTTCCCGTCGGCCGTTGCCCTGGATCCCGGCCTTTGATATCCTTAGAAATGCGGGGACGGAGAATTGAACGAATGATGGGCTTGCAGGTCCAAGTCCAACAAGATTTAACGAAACATTTCTTTTTGTTCGTGGGCCAGCCCAACTGTTGCGGCCTTGCGGGTCTAAGGACTAAGTCCAGCAATAAATCTTGTCCTGAGTTCAACATTAAAGAGAGCAGATGCAGTATTCTTGATAGACAAAGCTACACGTATAGCTCAAAGCGATTGATTTGGTATGGGTCACGTATGGGATCGCGGTGGTCATTTTCTTATTGAATTTTCGGCTCAATGAAAATCGATTTGTAACAAATGCTTTGGGATCGATATAAAAAATCAACAAGTGTGTTTTTATCAGGTTGATTTAAACCGAAAAAAAATCAAACTGACAATCTCAACTTCTCGTATAATATCTATACGAGCAGCCAAACTCTTTTAGATTGCAACGAATTTTGGCATATTTTTTGCAATGAAGTGTCTTATTTCCTCACTTAAGATGTACACTTAAAACTACTAATCAAAGAAAATGACCGTTCCTACTTTTACACATTTGGACCCATAAACTAGGTGCTATCTCGAATTCGACAACCGAACCGGATTGACCACCATGAAATGAACTCAAATGAGCTTCAACCATATGTATAAAATTTCAGCGCGGGGATTTCAAAGCCTCCACTTGGGACTTGCCACATGGACCCTTGGTTCTTATGTATAACCGGTACTGGTCAAAAGTCATGGGTGGGTACAAGGAAGGCCTCTCTTTGGTTACAAGTTCATTAACCGGTTGGATCGGAATGTCACTCTTTGGGTTGTAGAAGAAAGCTAGTGACACTCTTTCCTTTGCGGAGTTCACTATCACTCTGTGCTCGACGCTCCTGTAGATTGCATTGCTCAACACCTAACCACCGTTAAAAAAATATATACTCAATTAACAACCATAATATACGGAAAAATCCTATTGTAACTAGTGAAATAGGTAAATGACAATCCAAATCCACCATTTATAATCTAACCCATTCATTAAATATTCACATACCCAAATTCATTTAGTCCATTCATAAGGATCAAACCTCGCTGATAATTGCCTAATTGGGTTAAAGCGTTGGATTAATGGATTTTTGTAAATTACAATTGAACGCCTTTAGTTTTTTTTCTGTTCGTTTAATTCAACTTTCGGGTGGATAAAAAAGTTGCTTCACAAGTTAGGTTTTAGTACCTCACCTTTTTGTGACATTTTAGTACTTTCACTCTTAGCATTTTATAAAATGATTTGTAATTATTGCAACTTGAGAGAGCATATAGTTTCTAATATCCAAGAACTGATTGAAAGTGTTTCAAGATTACAACACACAACCATAATGGCTTGACAAGTCAAAGTTAGTGCATCAATGATGACTTTAGCAAGAAGTAATATTGCTTTCTAATAATTTTGAATATAATTATTATTATAACTATCTAGAAAACAGTTTCCCCACATGCTAAAAAAATATAAGACAAACTGTTCTTTTCCCCACTTTCTCTATTAGAAAAGTAGTGGCGAACAAACATTGTGGACCAAACTATTTAGTAATGTAGTGAAGGTAAAGTCCACATCATGCCACTTCGAGATGATATGAAGCTGAAAACGTACGTAGTACTGCTATAGGCATTGTGATCTATGAGACGAACACAAAGATGGAAAGTGGGGATGAGAGAGCAAACAGACAAACAACACCAAATATATCATTTTCCATCACCTCCCTTCAATCCATGAATAATATTTCGGATGGTGAAAATTTGAATACAAAGACCTCTCAATCAAATGTTTTAATGGATTAATTTTTTCGTAATTTTTTATATAGAATAATTTGTCGTAACTTTTATAGAAACTATCTCATGCTGAAATTTGTAGAGAATTGTTAAAAAAAATTGTTGAATATTTGGCTAATAAACTATTAAAATTATCTTCTAGTATATATGAAGTGATATAAAAAGAGTAAAAATAATTTCAAATATAAAAACAAAACCTAATCATAAATATTTCTGGATTTTTTTGTAGTAAATAAATTTTTCGTATTCATTTTTATGATAATTATCATTAAATAATTTAAAACTCAAAAAGGGTATTCTAGAAATTACACTTCATGTAAGTTTCAAATTAAATAAAATGATCATTAAATAATTTAAAACTCAACAAGGGTATTGTAGAAATAACACTTCATGTAAGTTTCAAATTATCATTAAATAATTTGCTGTTATTTTATAAAAAAAAAATACTTTTAAACTTTCTCAAATGGCTTGTTCATAGAGATCTTTGATTCGATTTAACCTTTTGGACGCGAAAAGCACTTCAAAAGTTTGTGCCAAACATATATAATATTTTGTGAAAACTAGTTGGTCTCGATAATTTGAGAGATTAAAATATGTTTGAAATGTTGATATCAATATTGTTAAGGAATCCCCTTGAGATTCGGGTATTTGGATAAATTAATGACGATGTGTTTTTCAGATTCCAAAAGAATTATCTTATCTTGATGAAAGGATAACCTAATTTTAACTGGAAGCAAGTTCAATCACAAACCAAACTTGTCTGCTGGGTGTCAAACATGATGGACATTTTATATTCATGCATCCTTTCCCCTCAATCAAACCTATGATTATAAACAAACTAACCTCCATACGACACCGTTGCTCCCTAAACAGTCGATAAAAACTGTCCATATCAAAACGTGGCCCAGCCCACGTGCTCTAGATACCCTTGGTCCCAGATGTAGGAAAGTAAAAGAAACGGGGAGAAATTGAAAGAGACAAAAAGTGTTAAGTTATTTTTTAAAATCTTTTAACAAAACATTTTAACTGCTTTAAGCAAGTTTGATACTCCCCGTTAATTACCTGAACTTGATCGCCGATGTTGACAATGAAGGCATGCTTCGCCGGCTTCACCGTGATCCAATCGTCCCCTCTCCGAACCTGAAGCCCCGGCACCTGGTGGTCCGGCAACAGAATGGTCAGACCGCCGGGGTCGGAGTGCGACGACAGGCCGAGTGTCAGGTCCGGCTGCGGACATTTCGGGTAGAAATTCACCCTCATACACGCCCCTATTTCTGTCCCTCCAAATGCGTCCTGAAGACATCGTTCGTTTAATCCCAAGTTTAACGATAATATCCTCATCAGTCTCCCGCAAAGCGCCACCACTTGCTTCCCGTACTCGTCAATCACTTTCCTGAAAAATGGTGTGCATATGATATGAATACGATATGGACAATACGACAAGCTGAGTTTAGTTTGCAAACGTACAAATTTCTTTATAATACAAACTGAATTTGTACATGTAACAAAATCATGATGTATCGACAATCAGACCGTCACATTTAACATTACGGTACAAAATTCGATTTATATCTCGAAACACAAACAATCTCTCACACCCGTCCCTCTTATCAACTAGCTAGCCAGCCAAAGTGGGGAAACCCCAAGTTTATGACCACCCGTTTCGTGGGTACGATGATAAAAATTCATAGGACGTTAATCTGACACATCGAACAAGAGGCCCAAAAATAAAAGGATTCTAAATTCGGTTTCTCACCATAGAAAACTACAGGTGAATTAAAAAAAAAAAACTTCATTATCAAGATTCAAGACAGAGACTTGAAAAGAATAATTAATTACCCACTACGAGCAGTAAATTAAAATTTAATTACCGGGGAGGAGGAGAAATGGAGACGGACCTGATGTCGGAAGGGAGGGACGGCCACTTGTCGTGGTCCTTCAACGCCGCCGGCAAGTAGTGCAGGAAATAGTAATCGCTCCAGTCGAGGACGGCGCCCTTCTGGACGCCGAGGCGGCTGCCGTAGCCTTCGTAGGTCTTGGGCGAGTTGGCGTACCGCTGCTTCACCTCCATGGGCTGGTGGAAGAATTCCCGCCACGCCTCCCGGGCCCGGTCCATCAGCTCTGGGCTCACCCCGTGGCCCACCACCTGGAAGAATCCCCAGTCCCGGCACGCGGCCCAGATTTCCTCCTCCGACTGCTGCCCCTGCCCGCCCCCGAGATCGACGATGGGGATGTTGCTGACGTCACGGTGGCGGGTGGTCGTCGGGCGCTGGTGGGGCGGCTTGACGTAACGGTCGGGGATGACGTGGAGGCCGCTCTCCGACAGGGACTGGACACGTACGATCGGTTCCGGCCACTCCTGGAGGCCGCCGCCGGTCATGGCTTTTTTCCCCTTTCTTTCTTTTTTTTTTCTTTCTTCCAGCCGGTGCTAGGGATAAGATGGTGATTAGCTATATCGGGAGGTGATTAGGATGGATAATGGATTGGGAAATGGTGACGAACATGAAGGGGGAAAGAGTGGTTAAAAGCGGATTAAGAGGAGGGTAATTAGTGGGATTAGTGATTAAGAGGGGGGAGAGGGAATCTCGATGGAGAGGAGAGAGTGGAGCAGTGTGTGTAGATTTGCAACGAGGGGAGTTGACGTTTATATATTATGACAACGTGAAAATAATGGCCCTTTTTTTGGGGGGAGGAATTAATGACCCTGCCTCTTTGTTCTTGGTTATTTTGTTTTTATTTTTATGGGAATATAATAATGGTCATTTTTTATTTGCTACCATGTGTTGTATTTGTATATATAGTAGTTAATTGATTGGGGAAATATTTTAGTTTCCCTTTTTTTTTTTTTTTTGGTTATGGGGAAGAGATTTTTCCTGCCAATTGTTAAGTTGATCCGTTTACTTTGGCATGTGTTGGAACAGTTTTTGTAATATGGTCGTACCATGTGTGCATGTACAACCAACCGCTTCTGGAGGGAAAGGGAATTGGTAGAATTAAAGTATGTTTAAGCCACCATTAGATTGTCTTATGTATTGTTTTCTTTTGCGGGTCAATAATTAATCTAGTGTTAACGTGAGGCTTTCTGATCTGTCAGGGGGTTGGTGGAAGAGATGCTCTGATATGGGTTTAGTTTTTTTCTTCTTCTTTTTTCTTTAAGATAAGTTAGGCTGGTTAAGGGAGGATTAGCACCCTGTCTGAGCTAATTAAT